CCCCCCCCCCCGCAGGGGAGCGGGGGCAGCGGGCGAGGCACCTTCCTGTAACGCCTTCCCCCTCCCAGACCACTGGACAATTATGCAGAATGATTCCAGCTGATTTTTCCAAAGCTATTGGACAGAAGGACCAGCCTTTGCCACTTGTATCATTTGTCGTCACAGCAGCAGGCGTTGGCGATTTGTTGGTGGTGTGCATGTGAAATTGTTACCTGTCTCTTCTGTGTTAAGTGCCAACAGTAGGAAAGACCACCGGCTCTACCGGTGACTTAAGGCTGCGTTTGCATGATTTGGATCGAGCCACGGCACATTCAGGAGTGGCCCAAGGATTGGTCAGGGCTGGTGACCTTTTCAAGTATCTTATCACAGCAGCTGGAGAGTAGAGAGCATGCGGATGAAGCCAGTCTTAGTTTTTGAGCTCCTGCTCTGCCAGCCCCTCCTATTTCTCACACTATGAAAGTCTCGCACCCTCTGGGTCTTTCCCTTCAGAGTTTGCCATTAAGACATTGAGACTTTCTCTCTGGGGAAAGACTGCTCCCTGCTGGTGGACCCTCAGTGTTGAGCCAAAGCCCCTCTCTTGATCTGGAGTCTTGAAGATTAAGAACTTGAAAAATGATTTTAAAAAAATTACTTCAGAAAAATCAACAGGATGCAGAAATTTAAAAAATGCAGCTATCATCCAAATAAAAATTTTAAGAATGAACTTTAAAATCAAGCTTACAGTGATGAATCCAATATAAGCTGAAGATCCGGGGTGTGGCCAGCCCTGCATTTGGAGCCTGTGACACCAAAGCCCTCTGGATCACTGGCCTCTCCAGAAGCCAGGTGGGACGACATGCCTCTCACACCTGCCCTCATCCCCCAGCCCACCGCCCAGGGCGTCCATTCTGTAGCCATCACTCTAATGGTCATGTCATGCCATTTTTCTCAGACCACCATAACAGAACACTCAGAAGAAAGACACAGAAGAGTCCTGAACTAAAACCCTTGGTGAGCGGTCGAACTCACTCCACAACACGCCTGGTGGTCGCACTGTAACGTGGGATTTTCTCGCCCAAATAGGTAGTGGATGCCTCCCGGTGACGTCGAAGCCTGTGGTGTTTCAGGGCCACGTGCTCCGCTTTCTGTTTCGGAAGCTTTCAGCTGTCTTCTTTATGTACCGTTATGTAAGTTTATTCTTTAAAAAAATAAAATATTTGTTAAGCCAGTTTCTGCTTCCTTAGATTTTTTTCTGAGGGTTCATTTGACCCGAGTTGAAGGAGGGGACAGAAATACACAGCAGGCTATATAAGTCTCTGTCGCAGTCTAGTTGAACCACAGGCGAGTGTTGCTGAGAGCCTCGGCGGTCAGAGTGATTGACAGGAAGTGGTGTGCTAACCACTCGATACTAAAGAGCATCCTTTACCGTATTTATAGGTGGGTTTCACTGTTGAAAGGTAAATGTTATAGGTGTTGGTAGGTGAGGTAACTAAAGGGTTTTCACAGATGAGTATACTATTTGCTGAACCAAATGGACACGATCCTATTTCACATTATTACAATGATGTGCTCTGCCTTCAAGCATCACAAATGTGCTATTTGAAATGGTACAGAAAGCCGACCTCCTTGTTTGCAAGGCCAAGGCTAGGATCCGAGTTGTACTTTGAAGAGTATGTATGTATTCACACGATATGGCAGCAGGGTGAGACCCCATCTGACCTGTGTTCACTCAGGAGGGGAGACACGGGCACAGAGAATCACAATTCAAGATCCAATGTGTTAAGACTGCCAGGGGAAAATACCCATGCTGTGGGGATTGAGAGGGGTGGTTAATTCCAGCTTGGGGGCTGCAGCAGCTCTAGGGAGGCTCATGGGAGGAGTGGGTGAGCCCGTGAGGTTTGCACAGGGATGTGATGGGAAACGGGCACAAGATGACATCCATGGAGAGCACAGCACATCAGAGGCCCTTTCCCAGACACCTGCACCCAGTGCTCACAAGGAGAATCTCACCAAACCCGTGCTGGCGATCGTGCATAAAAATAACAGTGGGTCAGGATCAGCAGGGGGCCTGGATGTTGCAGAACCAGGTCTAAGAGCATGGAGGAAGCCTCAGCCCATTTCCTGTGTCCACGTGGGGCCGTGCCAGAGGAGGTGATATCGGGCGGTGATTTCAGTCTCCTTTAATGGATAGCTGTCTGCTGTGCGCACCTACCCCTTCCGCTGGCTCTGACCCTCAGACACAGCTTCAATCCCGTGTCCTTTTGGCTCTAAGCAGAGGTAACGGCAGCCAGGGACTCGGTCCATGTCCCCAGTGCTGCCTGCCTTCCTCTCTCTGCTCGGTTTCCTGAACTAGTCCTGTGGAATTTCATTTAAAAAATATTTTGCCACGAGCCTGGCTCTTTGAGGGACCATTAAAGGCTTCATGTCCCTTTAATGATACTGACTGAAGGCCCAGTTCCCTAGTAAGAGGCTGACCAGGACCACATGGAATAGGGGTGTAGGCGTATCTTGTAGAGAATAGATGTTTTCTTAAGAGCTGCCTGTGGGTGCATTTTTTAAACTTGAATTTTAACTGCACCAAGGGATTTGCTGTTTAAAAATCATACGGCAATCCGTCGTTTCTGAAAACATAAGCTCTGTAATGAATTACTGTGGCTGCGCCTTGCGTCCACTGCTTCCCCGAAGCGGGGCCCACCTGCGGCGCAGACTTGACTTTACCGGGTGCATATGAGGAGTGAGCATCGACGGTGAACCATGAGCTGAATGTTACATTCCGAAAACTGCAGCCACATGCGGCAAGGGAGCTCTGTGAAGCCCAGAACCCGTTGTCCTTTCCACGCCTGCCTGGATGGCATGCAGCAGCACACAAGGAGAGCAGGGATGTGGTGGGGCCTCCGGCGGGGAGGCTGCTTTCATGCCACTCGAACATCTGCTGGCCTGCTCTTTGCTGCTGTGAGGCCGGGCTCCCCTTGGCTGGAGCACAAGCCAGATTCTTCCCCAATGGAGAGGGGCAAAGAATGTCAGTGCCTCTTGACAAGGCGAGCCTCAAGTTGTTGGGGGTGGGGCGGGATGACACGCCATCCACCGGCATCTGAGAGTCTGAGGGCTCTGCAGTGTCCCTCGGTCACGTGGAAACCCGACGGGTGGCGCTGGGGTAGGAGCAAGTTATGCACAAGGCACACCAAACACAGAGCAGTTCAGCTGTCTTAATCGGGCACTGGTAAAACATGTGGCTAGAAAGCCATATTTGTGGGAAAGAAAAACACAGCTTAAAGTGAATTTTTCAAGAAATCGATTCTCTTAAGTAGGTATTAGTATTTTTATCAGCTTATTTTCTTCCTTTTTCTCTCTCACATCAGTTTTCTTCTCCAGGAATTCCAAACACCTCTTCCATGTCTCACCTTGTTCGGCCTTTCCTGGCTTCCTGAACATCTGGAATAGTTATAATATCCTCACCTATGGACTTTATTATCGACGCTGTTTTTGAGTTAGAGAGTTTTAGTCATAAGGACTGTATTTCCTGGCTTCATTGCTCACTTAATTTTTTAAAATTACTAATTTGAGAGAAACATCGATTTGTTGTCCCATTATTTACGCATCATTGGTTGGTTCCTGTATGTGCCCTGACCAGGG